CCCCAAAACCCCAAAACCCCAAAACCCCATTCAACCATTCAAAAGCATTTTTGGATAATAAGTTATTAAGTAAAATTAAAAGGCAGATAAACTTCAATACTAAGCTCTTATAAGGAAAGAGCCATGCTCTGTTAGATACGCGAAATCATAGAGATTGTCCTTCAAGTATTCATAGAATTTTTCTTTAAGACCATCCTTGCTATTCTTTGATCTCCCGTGGCCATATCCACATATGACTTTAACTATAAAAAAGCCTTATGATGCATTACTTAGTAGTTCATTTTTCTCTAGCTTTAAGAGTATTTTCCTGTAGTATTTTTAAAACAAATATTTTGCGTCTAGGTAAAACTGGTAATGAAGATCAATTTGATAATTTTGTATTTCAGGGTCTGAGTTGCATGCTCTGTAAAGTCTTTCTGGCAAATTTACTTCAATTTAACGATCATTATACTCCTACTAAACTCTATCTAGATAATCAACTAATGATTCGTCTGGCAGTTATTTAGTCTTTTAAAGAATGTCTATTAAACCATCTTTAACCTTATTTTAATTAAGCCGATCATCTTTTACGGAATCCAATTAATTATCATCGTAGTCCTACCAATTTTCAAAGCAAAACATGTTTACTAATTCTCTTGTCCAAAGATCTTAAGAGACATCATTGAATATATGACAATTAGGAACTCTAAATTTAGCCATTTTTTGCTTAATTTGCACATCGAAATGACCTGATGCTTCGCACAAGAGTGCCTATCCAATAGAACTCAAAGAGCACGTATTTTTGACTTTCTTACCAAATACCAAATAAACTATTGCGAATGTTGTTAGATCAGAATGATAAAACGGAGCTCTTTCTCTAAAGTAAACAATCACATCATTAGGCCAATCTCCTTTTAATTATTCTTCGCCTAATCTGAAGTATATAATCATAAATTTCTTTAGACCTTCAATTGATCTTGCATTACCTTGATAATGCTTATAAAACACCTGTAGCACATCATGTTAAGGTGGGGTAAGTTCAAACGATATTTTTTTCTTCAGTATATTTTGGGGTTAGTTAAAATTATTGACCTATCCTTAATTATTTTGATTGAATTTATTCTCTTCAATTAACCTTTGATTTTCCTATATTAAGTGGTAGTCATTATAATGAAAATTATCCTCTGATATTTAGTTTTGATTTGATTCAATTGCTTTTTAGTTTTCAGCAAGGATATCTTTAACGCTTTAGTCAAGCATATTAAATGGCACATTCCTTTATTACTAATCATTGATATTTTATGAGAATCTATTGACAGACTTAGGTCTATTTTGCTTTTAATTTCCTTATGAGTTGTTAAAATTTCTTTGTTAATTTATGCTCTAGTTATTCTAATTTTTGGCTTATTAATTATAAGAATTATCTTTGATTTAATTTTGCATTTGGAATTGCTGTATTTATGGTTTACTTTTTATATTATTTTGAATATTTTAGCTATTATTTGACTTCTTTTATTCCTGGTTATATATTTATGCAGGATTAGAATCCCAAACCTAATTGACTTAATTTTAATTCGGGGCAGGGTATTATTTATTATGAGAAATACTTGCTTGCTAATAAATGCCTACAGATTAATCAAATTCTTCTTTGTCTTAAGATGATTTAGATCTAGTTTTCTAAAGGTTTAAATCATCAAAATTATTGATTGCTAAATTATCATTACCCAAATCTAAATAATTTTCTTCGAACATGGCCTGCAATAAATGTATATCGTTTCAATAGATTTATGCTTAGTTATCATTTTAAAACTAACTATTCCCTCCTTATAACATTGATTGATTTTACTACAAATTCTAGGCAATTTGTGGATTATATCGATATTAGAAATTAATTTACTAATTATTAATCTATGGCTAAAATACTCCAGTGTTATTTTGAACATTTTGTTGAGGAATATATGATGTTTGCTATCTCCATTAATTTTGTATTTAGACTGGTGGTTAATGTCCATAAGGCATCTACATTTATAAAGGCTATCCAAACAAAGAGATATGCTAATACTAATTACTAGGGCCATGTGACTCTCGTATGTTTAATTAATTAGTACTAACTTTCACGAAGTTATTGTTGATTTAAGGTAATTATTTTTAGGCAACATTTTAACCAGTAGAGACTGGTTTGAATCCTTAGTTGAGTTGAATCTGCTACTAATTATATGCTTAGTTATACTATGAGAATTAATTTGCTTGCTTGATGTTAGAGGATTGATTATTATTATTGTTCATTTAATATTTTAATAATCTTAGGCCATTTTTGCTTATTTATATATTTTTTAATCGAATATTTTAAGAATGCTTAATTTGACAACAAATTTTATCCCTTGGGGTTTTGGGGTTTTGGGGTTTTGGGGGTTTTGGGG